ATGTATAAGTTTGATTAGGTGCCATTTGGTCTTGGGATGTTTGTTTTGGGTTTTATTTTGGTTTTGATTTTTCTTCTATGGCTTTGGGAGACTGATCTGAGAAAACACGGGTACAATTTATGTCAGAGAAAGTTTTGCTGAGTTCTCTTCTAGGTGTTGTATGGGGTCATCTTTTATATTTAGATCTTTAAGTCACTTTGAGTTCACTTTTGTGTATGGTGTGAGGGAGCTGTATTAGTTTTCTAATTACAAGTTACCACAAATGTTCTGGCTTAAAACAACACAAATTTATCATCTTGTAGTGCTGGAGTTCAGAGGTGCAAGATGGGTCTCACTCAGGCTAAAACCAAGATGTCAGCAGAGCTGCATTCCTTTTTGAAGGCTCCAAGGGAGAATCCATTTTTATGTCCTTTCCAGCTTCTGGAGATCACCCACATTGCTTGGGTCATGGCCCCATTCTCTCACTTTCAAACCCAGCAACATTCAGCCAAGTTCTCACTTTGCTATCAATCTGTTTCTTTATTCTGAATCCCTCTTCCACACTTAAGGTGCCTTATGATTTCACTGGATCCACACAGATAATCTAGGATAATTTCACTGTTTTAAAGCCAGTTGATCAGCAACCTTAATTCCATCTAAATCCTTATTTCCCCTTTGCCACATAATCTCATATATTCACAGGCTCTGAGAAATCTCCAGTTCAAGAATCCCACCCTCCATCTACAAACTGCTGACCGTCCATCTCCTGTACTCTAGAAGTCTGAGTGCGTTCACCTTGTCCAGACCTCCAATCTACTGATTCTGCCATTATTTCCACGTAGCTAATGACTACATTTCCCAGACTTCCTTGCAGCCAGACGTGACCCTGTGACTAGACTGTGGCCAGTAGGATATGAGCAAATATGATAAAAGCAATTATGGGTGAGGTCCTTGACAAAAGAGGAGTGTGTCCTCCCCTTCTCTCATCTCCCCTTCCCAATGACTGGAATAAGATGAAGGGTGGGAGTTGGAGCAGCCATCATAAACACTAAATAGAAGCCACATTAAAAAAAAAAAAAAACAGTAGCAGAGACTTCTCTGGTGGTCCAGCAGTTAAGACTCAGAGCTCCCAATGCAGGGGACTCAGGTTTGATCACCGGTCAGGGAACTAGATCCCACATGCCACAACTAAAGATCCTGCGTGCAGCAACTAAGGCCTGGCACAGACAAATTGAAAAAAAAAAAAAAGTTGCAAGACAGAAAGAGCCTGAGTCTTGATGATGGCAGAGCCACCATACTACCCCAGTTTAACTTTTGTTAAAGCTGCAGTATTATGACCTTATTACTGCATCTGAACTAGTATCTTAATACACTTGTCCACTTCATCTTGCTAGCTCACTAAATATAACCTCCATATAATCAATTATTCAAGCCAAAAACCTGAGTCAGTTTTGATTCGTGCTTTTTCTTCAATCCTCACATCAATAAGGCTTTGAATTCTATCTCCAGGATATATCTTGACTTCCTCCCTCTCTCCCCTTCTCCTTAGCTGCACCACCGTGATTCATCACTTAGATGTCAGCAACAGCCTCCTGACTAAACCTCTCTACCTCCACCCTTACCCCTTCCAAGCCACCCTCCCTTCAGCATTTAGACAAGTGATACTTTCAAGGTATATATCTAATCAGGTCAGCCAGTCTGCTGCTTAAACCCTTAAGTGTTCTCCAGTTGCACTTTGATGCAGAATCCAAACCCTTTCCCAGGGCCTACATGCACCCCCCAACCCCACCTCGTCCCATTCCACTTTCCTCCTCAATACCACACAGCCATGCTGGCCTCCTTCATGGGACACACAGTTTTTGCCCAACTCAGAGCTTTCATCCTCATGGCTGCTCCCTCTGCTTAGAACCCCATTCTTCTTGCTCTTTGCTTAGCTGACTCCTGCTCATCCTACAAATATCAGCTCACACGTCTCTTCTCAGGAAGAGCCTTCTTATCTACCTGACTCAGCACCCAGCCCCATCTCCCTTTCCACCAGTTACTTCTGTCACCCCACCCTGTTTATTCCCTCATTGCACTTACTGTGCTCTGACATTATTTATACACTTGTTTACTTGTGTATATGGTTTCCACCTCAGAAAAATGTAAGCTCCATGAAGCCTGAGAACTTGTCAACCATTAGCATTCACCATTTTCTCCCTGGGGCCTTGAACAATAATAACTGGGCAAACAGTTGGAATCCAACGAATGAAGCTCAAATGACTTCATGGGTGAACTGAATGAATGAATGACTGGATGAATGAGTGGTGAAATTAGCCACTCCTTTCCTAGGAAGGAGCAAGTAACAAACCAAGAGAAGCTAAAAGGGTTCACTCAGACCCTGTCTCCTGAGGAAGAAGGGAGCAAAGTTGTCTAATGGAAAGAGGCTCAGGGGGAGGGTTGCAGATAAGGGCGTCCCTCCCTGAGAGTGGTTGGGAAGAAAAGATCCTGGAAAGGGCTGAGAAACTTTTGCTCAGAGGTCCAGTGCTCACTTCCCCAGCCTCTATAGGATTAAGGCAGAGATGAGACCACCTTCCCAGAGAACAAGGCACAGCATCAAATGTGCAGGCACTGCAGTGCGGGAGCCTGAGGTTGTGTCTTAAGAAGGGCTTCTCAACACATGTAGTTGTTGTTGTTTAGTGTCTAAGTCAGGTCCAACTCTTTTGGGCCACTTGAAGTGTAGCCCACTGGGCTCCTCTGTCCATGGGATTTCCCAGCGAAGAATACTGGAGTGGGTTACCGTTTCCCACTCCAGGGGCTCTTCCCTACTCAGGGATCAAACCCACATCTCCTGCATTGGCAGGGGAATTCTTTACCACTGAGCCGCCAAGGAAGCCTCTGTACAGGTAAGGGAACCCCAGAATCAGGACTTTCTATTACTGGGGGTGAGGGAAGTGTCTTTAAAAAGAATATCCCCCACTAGACTTCCTACATAGAATATGCAATTCCATCACGGGGAGACAGGAGTGGGGACAGAACAACCTCCACAGAGCCTCCTGCCTGTACTCCCTCACCCAGTGAGACAGGAAAGCTAAGGCGTCTTTCTGGTGGTCTGGCCCAGAACCAGGACAGACACTGGTTCTCTCCACTGTCGGCTCCATCTCCCCTGTCCCAGGGGCCCTTCTCCTCCAAGGGGAATCACGGAAGCTTCCATTCATAGACTCCAATGCACAGTTTCAGAACAACCTAGGATCCCAAAGAGTCCTTAAAGGTCCAGCTCTGGGCCTAATGTAAGGAGCCTCCAGACAGCCTCTGGGTACTTAGAGGCTAAGATCTCCTTACACATGTGCAGCTTCTTCCAGGTTTGGGCAGCTCTGCTTATAAGAGGTTCTTCCTCTGAGCCAGCTGAAATCTCTTTCTTTCACACCAGCATCACTAGCTCAGGCTGGTTGTTCCCACGTGACAACCTTTGAAACATCTGAAGGCAAGTATCATTCTAATAATAAATGCTGCCATTTAATGATGCTTACCAGGCACTGTGCTAAACATTTTATGTATATTATCTCATTCAATCCTTGCTGCATCCCTATCTTGGAGGAATTATTGGTCCCATTCTGGAGATTAGGGAAAAAGCTTGAGAAGTAATCAGCCCAGGGTCACCCGGGTATTGGAAGAATCGGGATTTGTTCCAAGACTGATCTGACTCCATCCAAAGCCCATGCCCCCACTTCTCCTGTTATGCAAGGTCATCCATCCCTAACAGAATCGTCTTTAGTCCTGTCTGGATGACACCAAATCCTTCAAGCATTTCTTCTCTGAGAAGCTCAGGGCACCCATCTCCCCATTTGTTCAGATAACTTCCAGGTTCAATAAAATCCTTGCATCATCTGGCCTCAGACCCTCTTTTGGAGACTGGAGAGTGAAAAGGGAACTCTGCTTCTGTGACAGCAGAAAATTGAAGTCTTCCCAAAGGTCCCCCACTGGGCCCCAGTGCCCCCTCAGTCCTCAAATAGCCCTGATGACCCACCAGTTCCCTTATCACCTCCCTTATCACCTATCAACTCCCCTGTCTCCCAGGATTTGTCAGTCTGGCTCCTCCTTACCTCATGCCTCTTCTACCCCAAAGGTCCACTCATTTTTAAACAAACCCAACTCCAATTTCCTCTCCTCCATGAAGCCTTCTCCAGCTCCTTCCCCTTCTTCAGTGCTCCCAAAGCCCTCATTTCTCCTGTTTCCAGCTTCCCTGAGATATAACTGACATATACCACTGCATACACTTAAGGTGTACAATGTAATGACTTGATATATATATATACTATGAAATAAGTACCACAATAAGTTTAGTTAGCACATCCATCACCTCACATTGTTACAATTGTGTGTATGTGTGTGTGATAAGAACATCTAAGATCAATTCTCTTAGCAACTTGCAAATGCACAATACAGTATTGTGAACTGTAGTCACCAAGCCGTATGTTATATCCCAGAACTTTTTTATTTCACAGCTAGAAGATGGCACCTTTGGATCCCCTTCATCCATTTTCACCTCCCCCATGCCTGGCAACCGTTAGCCAACTCTCCGTTTCTATGGATTTGACACAAAGCGCTTGTTTCTGCTGTACAGCAGCAGTTGCTCTTTTGCATTTCATCACGTCTCCTGCAGCTCTGGCTAGGCTCCTCTGGGGCAGAAAGTGTGGCTTTAATGACTAGGCCTGTTACAGAGTAGGTGTTTGGTAACTGGATGCTACTGTCAAGTGCAGACTGACATCTTTGATCCTTCAACTGGAAGAATGGTGGTTAGACTGCAGAAAGTCAGAAAGCAGGGCCAACAGTAAAGAGCCAGTTGAGATACCAGAAGAGTGAAACCCTCCACATGGCCCAGCACCTGGGCATCACCTGGTCTCCAGGAATTGAATGAAAGAATCCAGCCTCCATGAGTCTAAGTAAGGAAACAAGGTTTGAAGCAGAATCTGCTTCTCTCTGATGACCATTCCACCTCAGGGCTATGTGCTTGGTATTCTCGCCTTCCTGACACAGAGAAGATGCTGGTATGAATTTAAAACCTAGTGCCCCTTTCTCCAGGCACAATCTTAACTGTCCCAAATGATTTTGTAACAGAATATTAAAATCAGAATTTCAACTGTGCCCCAAGATACAATAGATGACATTTCGAATCATCATATGAAGAATTTCAAAGGAAATGTTCAAGAACTAGTTTCTGACCCCCAGATCAAGGATACAGAAAGAATCAAGGATACTAAAAGGCATCATTTTAGGGAGAGGAGGTATTAGCGAGACAGTAACAAGGAAGCGTGCATGTGCTTAGTCTCTCAGTCGTGTCTGACTCTTTGCAACCCCATGGATTGTAGCCCACCAGGCTCCTTCGTCCATGGGGATTCTCCAGACAAGAACACTGGAATGGGTTGCCATGCCCTCCTCCAGGGGATCTTCCCGACCCAGGGATTGGACCCAGGTCTCCCGGATTGCAGGCAGATTCTTTACCCTCTGAGCCACCAGGGAAGTCCAAGTCACTAAGTCATATCTGACTCTTTGGGACACCATGGAATAGTCCATGGAATTCTCCAGGCCAGAATACTGGAGTGGGTAGCTATTCCCTTCTCCAGGGGATCTTCCCAACCCAGGGATCAAACCCAGGTCTCCTGCATTGCAGGAGTATTCTTTACCAGCGGAGCTACCAGGAAGGGATGGGGCTAAACCAGAGTATGTCATATCTTACAGAAGTAGAATACCAGGCAATAAGAGAAATTGTAACATGCACTGGACAAAGTTAAGAACCAGAGCACACATTTTAGAATCCTTCTGTGTTCTCTTTATTGATGCTTGGGAGAAAGTTGAACTATGACCTCCTAGGTCTTCAGGTGGAAAGAATAAGTCTCAGTTATTCATGATTTTAAAAAGAAAAAGAATGCAGACACAAACAACTATTTTCAGGAAAAGAAGTAACCATAGGAAAGATAATAACTCAGTCTAAAAACGTCCAGTTCAGAGACTTCCCTGGTGGTCCAGTGGTTAAGACTCTGCCTTCCAATGTAAAAGACATAGGTTCGATCCCCAGCTGGGGAACTAAGATCTCACATGCTGCTGGGCAATTCCTGAGCCCAGCACCACAACTAGAAAGAAGCCACAGAAGAAAATCCTGCACGCCGCAATGAAGAGCCCTCCAGGTGCAGCTAAGACCTGACACAGCCAAATTAATAAATACATTTTTGAATAACAGTAATAAAGGCACTCAGTTCTGTTTCAAAGGTAAAGATGGACCTGAAGCACATTCTTGAGCTGTTCTGCAGGATCCAAAGCCCCTCAACCACTCAACCAGCAGATTCACTGGAGCCCAGGGAATGAGGGTGCTAACCTTGGCTGACCCTCATGACTTCACTCAATAAGCTGCCTGGATTTTGTCAACCTAGAGTGCCCTGTGCCTCATTTTAATGCTAAAATCTCCACTCCGGGATTGCCACCATTTTTTAACATGCACCCTATGTTTGAACATGTCACACTGCACATGCATGTCTGAATCCCACGTCTACATGAACGATCACTTTCACCCTTTCGTGAATATGCATGCATTTTAGCTTAAAACTTCCCTGACCCTGCTGTTATGGGAGACAACACTTTGAGAGCTATCTCTGTGTCTCCTGACCTGTCACAAGTAATAAATTCTTCTGCTTTAATCAAAAGTACTTGATGTGTTCATTGGCTAAGCACCCCAAGCAATGGACCCATCACATCCAGTAACAAAGGGAGGATTTTGCAAAAAGGAAATGCATGGAGGAAGCTGTGCTGTGAACCCCATCCCCTCTCTCCCAGGGAAAGGGAGGGGACCTACCCCCTTACAGCAAACCTAGAGGATGCTGGCATGGTTACCCCAACAACAGAATATGTGGCCCCTAGAGTGGGGGGTTGGAAGTATCCTAGGGCATGGATGCCTTCCAGAAGTTTAGAAGGAGAGACAAGGACAAGGGACCAGGCTGTGAGCAGGCTAGCTAAGCTGGTGCCTTGTGACAGCCTGGGCTCCCAGAGTTTGCCTGGCCAAGGAAGAACCAACTACGGGTCCTAGGAGAGAAACAGGTGTGTCCCCATCCATCCATCTTGGGTGCTGTCCAACATGGCTTCCTCAAGGGACAAAGAGACCCCAGCAGCTGAGGAAGGAGGCTCAAGTTCCCAGGATAAGGAAATACAGGTGGACAGGGCTGATCGCAAAGCTCTGAGGAGCCAGGAAAGCACCCATGAGAGAATTGGTCAGCAGAGAGCATGAGAGAGCAAGGGCAGGGACACTGCCAGCTGATGCAGAAGGAGGCTGAGTGCCAAAGGATGTAGAAACTCACCTACCCCTTCCTGTCTGCTCTGCATCACCCCACCAAACAGGGGTGGGGGTGGGGGTGCGGGGGAGGAGGGAGAAGAGAAGCCAGCCACTGGCCTCCTCTCAGCCTCCAGCTGAAGCAAGGCCCAGCAGTCCACGGAAGAGCGGTGGTAAATAGAATATTATGCTTAGTGAAACGAGTCAGAGAACGACAGATACTAGATGACATCACTCATGTGGAATCTAAAAAATAATAACATGAATCTATATGCAAAACAGAAATAGACTCATAGACATTGAGAACAAATTCATGGTTACCAAAGGGGAGAGGAAAGGGGAGAGAGACAAATTACAAGTATGGGATTAACAGATACATACTACTATACATAGAACAGATAAGTGACAAAGATGTACTGTATAGTACAGAGAATTATACCTAATATCTTGTAACAATGTATAACAGAATGTAATATGCAAAAAACAAAAACAAAACTGAATCACTATGTTGTACACCTGAAACTAATGCAATATTGTAAATCAATTGGACTTCAATTTAAAAAAAGACTAAAAGAATAGCAAGCCAAAAAAAAAATTAAAGTTTCAGGTTTTGGTTCATATATTGACTGGTGTGGTCATTGTAATTTCTGAATTGAGCCTGTCTCTTATCTGAGAGCAAGCAGAACAGTTAAAAGGCTTTCCTGGGTTTTCTCCAAGGAGCAAGCAAATAAATTCTCCCTGCCCACTGGCCCGATAAAGTATAAAGGATTGCATCATGAAATCAAACTCGTCAGATATTCAAAATGCAACTTTATTCTTTTATTACACGACAAGTTGTGGTTTTCATATAATATATAGTTTATAGCATGCACAGTAATACTTGTAATACAGAATATGTACAATGTATAATGTAATAGGGGTTACACTCTCCCCTCCAAGGGGACTAAATTACAGGGACCCAGGATTTCCTTCTCTCCTGCAGTCTAGAGCACCCCTACTCCCATCCCTTTGTCTCTGTACCATCAGTAGCCTTTCTTTCTAGGCTTCTTGAGAGCCAGTCCAGGCCCACCTACGGGTCCTGAGCACCTCCTCTCCTCCTTGGGGAGGGGGAGAGACCTCCCGTACCAGCTCCAGCACAGCCTCCTGGAGCATTCACCACCTCCCTGCCCCGCCAGGCACTCTCACCATCTGTAGTGGGTCGAAGAGTCTCAAAAAAGTTTGTATCTACCTAGAACCTCAGAATGTGAACATATTTGGAAATAGGGTCTTTGCAGATGTAGTTAATTAAGGATCTTGAGGGGAAATTATCCTGGATTTAGGGTGGGTCCTAAATCCAATGACTGATGTCTTTACAGGAAGAGGAGAGGATGCAGAAAGACATACAAGAGGGAAGAAGGCCATGTAAAGAGAGAGGGAGAGATTGGAGTTACTTGTTGCCACAAGCTCAGGAATGCCTGGGGCCATCAGAAGCTGAGCAAGGCAAGGATTGTCTCTGAGAGACTTCAGAGAGAGCAGGGCCCAGCTGACACCTCGATTCCAGGCTCCTAGGCTCCAGAACCATAAGAGATTAAATCCCTACTGTTTTAAACCATCCAGTTAGTGGTACGTTGTGACAGCAGCCCAAACTAACACACCGTCTCCCCCTGTTCTTCCGGCTGGAGCCGCATTCAAGGGCCAACACCTGGCAAGAGGAATGCCAAGGCTTGGGCTGGGGCCCAGTGACCTCTGCCAAGCCTGGGAGGAGTGGGGGAGGAGGATGGGCTGTGACTTTCAAATGACCCCCGATTCCTGCTCCTGCTGAGCAGCCCCAGGAGAAACCAGGCATCTGTTCCTCAGCCACCTACCCTCAACAATGCACCCAGAGGCCAGTGCATCCCTCCTACTGCTAGTAACCTACCTCAGTCCAGTCCTGTGGCTGGGGAATTTTCCATCCCACTCCCAAGTCAAAGTCATTAGATTTAATCATTAACAGGGCGGGTGTTAATTAGCAGGACAGGGTGATCATCCATCCTGATGAGGACACAGCTGGCCATCAAGAACAGCTGACCAGACAAGGGTGCGGAGAGCAGGCTCTGGCTAATAAGGGGCAAAGGGTGTTTTGCAGACCCCTTCCCAAAGCCCCCGTTTCTTTTTTTTCTTTTTTTAAAATTTATTTTAATTGGAGGATAATTACTTTACACTATTGTGATGGTTTTTGCTATACAGCAGTATGAATTGGCCATAGATATACAGGTGTGCCCTGCACCCTGAATCCCCCTCCCACCTCACTCCCCACCCTATCCCTCCAAGTGGTCATGGAGCACCGACTTTGGGTGCCCTGTGAAGCTCCCATTTCTTCATCCCTGCCTTTTCCCGAGTCAAAGGAGAAAACATTAGCTAAGATGAGCTCCTTGCTACTCATGTTCATTTCTCAAGAGCTTAATGGGTTCCAGGCACTGAGCTAGGCCACTGATCCACTCCTGTGGATCCCATCATCACTACGATAATAGAGGCATTAATACCTATTATTTACAGATAAAGAAACTGAGGCTCAGAGAGGGTAAGCATCTTGCCCAGCGTGGCAGAGCTTGGATCTGAACCCAGGAGACTGTTATCCGAGGAATCAGAGGTCATACTGACCTTCCTCCTTCCCCGGATGCACCTCATCCTTGTACTTGCACTTTGCGATATCTATCATTTCTAATTACTTAGTTACCCTACTCCACCCAGAGCCCTGCTAGGGCGTAAGGTACCAGTGGACAGAGATTGTACATGTTTTGTGCTCCACTGTATCCCCAGCACTGAACACAATGCCTGGGACACATAAATACCGATAACAATTTGTTAGAAATATAAATTCAACTTGTTAGAGAGTTGAGGTAGAAGGCGAGAGGTTGGGTCTCCCAGACTGGTGATGATCACAGGGCTAAATCGTATCTCAGGAGGTCCTCGGGTTCATGCCTCTGCTTCAGGTCCAGCTGTGGCCCTGCCATAGCCTTCAAATCTGGGGAAAGTATGGCCTTGGGTTTGAGTCCTTGAGAGAGCTGCTGCTTCTCTCTTGGCCTCAGTTTCCCCTCTTGAGCTCAAGGGGGTGGATTTGGCTGATCTTTAAGTCTCTTCCATCTCTACCAGTCTTGTGGTTCAAGAGGCAAAGCACTTGGGAAATGAGCATCCCTCGGTTTGAATCACCAGCTCTGGCCCCACTCCCAAGAATGCCAGCTGCAAGGGGGTGTGCACCCAAGCCTGGCAGAGTTGCAACGATGGGCTTTTTCACAGGCAAACTAGGACCCATGCAGTTGGAGGAGGCTGGGCCTTCTGAGTCATCCCCTGAGAGGCCACACATCTACCCCTGTGGTGCCACTGGGGCTCACAAGATGCTCTGGAAACTCCTCTTGTGGAGATGCCTTCTAGATGGGGCTTGGAGCCCAGGGGACAGACAGTCTCACTGCAGGGCACCCACACCTCAGTTCTAGGTCCAGTTCTGCTCCTCACCTGGTCCCCCTCCTTCTTCAAAAGGCACAACCCCTAAAGATTCTCCCTCGTTTCCAGAAGAGCAGAGCCACCCCAAAGGAGAAAGATTGGCTCCCCAGGAAGGATTTACAGAGCAGATGCCACACATTCTGAGCTTATTCCAAAAGAATTTCCAGAGATGTTTGAGAAACTGCAGCAAATTGGTGGGAACATATGGCTTCCCAAGGGGACCACTTGGCTAGGGTTCTTACTCCTACGGGTGTGTAAAGTCTCAGCTGAGTGTGTGCAAGTGTGCACGCATCATGTTTTCAACAGGCAGGAATTCCGCCCTGCCACACTGGCCAGCAGGGAAACACAAAGATAGAGGTAAGGGCTCCACCTCCTGGGTTCTAACCCTAATTCTGAGACTTTCTGCCTGTGTGACAGTGTGTGTGTTCAGTCGCTTCAGTCATGTTCGGCTCTTTACAACCCTATTGGACTGTTGCCCATCAGGCTCCTCTGTCCATGGAATTCTCCAGGCAAGAATACTGGAGTGGGTTGCCATGTCCTTCTTCAGGGGATATTCCCAACCCAGGGATCAAACCCAGGTCTCTCGCACTGAAGGTGGATTCTTTACCATTGGAGCTACCTGGGAAGACCACCCATGTGATGGTAGCATCCCTAACTCAGAATGACAAAAATTAAAACAGGAAGAAACCTGCACAATCACCTGGTCTTCCTTGTTTTACAGATGAGTGTGTGTGTGTGTGTGTGTGTGTGTGTGTGTGTGTGTGTGTGTTGGGGAGAAGGGGGAGTGATTGCTCCAGGGTGGACCAGAGAGTTGGAAGCAGGGGGAAGAACTGAACTCTGACCTCCCAAATCCCAACCCAAATGGACCTTCCCATCATCACCTCTCTACACGCCCTTGCTTTTGAAAAGTAAAATAAAGATCATAATTCTGTCCTCCTTCCTGATTGGGTGTGGGGATTAGTGAATTAACATGGGAGAAGGTTAGTGAGGAATGAAGAAGACAGACAAATAAAAGCAGAAAGTACTGAGAGCCACAAAGAGCAGCCCCCATTAAGCCTGAGTCCAGCTCCGGAGAGAGTCAAGAGTCGGAAGGGTGGGAGATGCAAAGTAATTGCATGGCCGCCACATCCCTGTAACCTTAAATATTTCATGGACCCAGAAGTATACCACGTGGAACAGCCACTGCTCCTCCAGTGGGCCAGGACTGCAGCAGGGACGTGAATGCTTACACACACACAAGCACACCTTGCACAGACACATGCAAGCGAGGAAGGGCTGGGACAGGGCAGGCTCTGACTCTTGCTCATTCTAGGAAGGGCTCCAAGAGCAGGCATGGCAACTCCCTGCCCCGTGTGTGAGCGACACATGTTGTCTTCTTCCACCCACGAGCAACAGACACCCACAGTTACCCACCCAGCTCTGGGCATTAGAAAGGTCAAGATGACATCACCCAACACCTTCACAGACAGACACCTTCCAACTCGTTCGGCAACCCCAGCACCCAAGGCTGCAGCCAGCCACACTCCCCTCCCCGCTCCCCATAAGCGCTTGCCCCCGCCATCCCCAGCCTCCTCCTGGAAACAGAAGCGAGAGCTGCCTCTCCTCCCTCCCGCTCTTGCCTCCTCTGCCTCCACCCCAGCAACGGCTGCTCCCAGGACCCCTCATCCCACGCAACCCCCATCAGCCATCTCTTCAAAGCCTGAGCGCTCCGGGCATTCTCCTGACCTGAAGCTTCCAGGGAAGGCAGTCTGAGAATCTGAAGCTTGAGAAGGGAACATGAAGGGTGGATATGAGGTTTTGAGAGGAATTTCCACAGCCAAACCCAAGTTTGAAGGGCATGGAACAAATTGGGTGACAGGGGTGGGTATGCAGGGTCTTCTTATGAGAGCCTGGAGAGGTGACTCCCCTAATTCTGCTGTCTGCCAGGAGATAACACGACAGTAATGGGGTGTGTGTGTGTGGTGTGTGTGTATGTGTGTGAAGTCACTTCAGTGGTGTCCGACTCTGTGAGCAGTTATCAGTTAATTGAGGGCCTTCTGCATGCTAGGTACCTTACCTCCTATGATAGTCAATCCTATAGTAGGGAAAATTCTGCCCATAGTAGGGAAAATTCTGCCCATTTTAAATGTGGAAATCAAGACTCAGTGAGGGGCATCTGAGGGCCTAGATGTGTTGTTGTTCAGTCGCTCAGCCACGTCCAACTCTTTGTGATCCCATGGAGGGCAGCACATTGGGCTTCTCTGTCGGGCTGTGGGAATCCTGACTTCAAGTTCTAGGTTCCAGGGTCCTCGCGGAATAGGCGAGGGGGAGGGAGGGACAAGTCACCTATTCAAAGGACACTTTGGCCCGGGTTCTATGTATGTGTGGTTAGGAGAGAGGTGAGTGGAAGGAAAGCCAGAGAGCCTGTCCTGTTGAGCCCCTGTGTCTCCCACCCTATCCTATCCTCTTCGCTTCAGTGCCTGCACATGTACTCCCACCACGGCCACTTGTGCGGAGGACAGAAGCAACTGGGGGAGGGGGGTATCTGGGGTTCACAACCAGCTGTTTTCTGGGCTGGCCCTGCTACATCAAAGAGAGCACAAAGGGACCATGCACTCATAGGTTGGGTATAGGGGGTCATTCCTGGAGCAACAGCGAAACAGAAGTTAGTTCACAGCAGACAGAGGTCTGGCTGGCCTACTGGGTCCCTTATAACCCCAGCCTTGCCCTGAGAAAACAGCCAGGCCTGTGGTGTGTAAAAGGATCCGGTTAGGAGGAAGGCCAGAGGTTATTTTGGTAGGTAAGAGGGAAAGAGGCAATGCGAAATCCAGGCCAGGGAAGGGCTGCCCGGGAGAGGAGGCAACCGAGGATTTAGACTGACCCCTTAGAGGGGAGGATGATCCCAGGGTCCCTAGAGGACCAGGCGTCAATCTGTATAGAAGGGGCCAGTTGTTCGGTTTGAGGTTAAAGAAACAGATCTCTGGCCCGGGGCCCCTGCTCAGCCCCTCCCCCAGAACTCCCTGTCCCTGCTCCCTGGGCCCAGTTCTCCTCCTCCCCCAAAGAGGCATCAACCAGCTGTGCCCCGCCCGCAGTGCCCAGCACCTCTCTTCCCTCCACTCAGAGGCCCCCAGCCCCTGGCAGAGTGCCCACCAGGTCTGGTGAATATTCTGTCTCCCTCACTCACTAGTATTGGCATCTTGGTCCTACACCAAACTAGTAAGTTCTTCGCACAGTCTCACCTCCATCTCCTCAATTACGGCAGATCCTTTTCATTACTCTGCCAACAGTGGAACTAGAAACCAACCCTCATCTGTAAACAAGCCACCCCACCAAAGGCGTGTCCCTCTCCACCAGCAAGGAACACTCTCCACTGGCAGGCCTTCCACCTGCTTTACATCCCCAGAATTTAGCAAGCAGAAAGAGAAACCTATTTCACAAGCATTACTGGCTCCCCACCCGTTTCTCCTCCTCCTAAGTCCCAGATGGTCCTCGCTCCCGGAGCCCTCCACCCACTGCCATCAAGACAGAGGCTCCGGAGACCCTCTAAGATCTTCGTTTCCCCCTCCCGCCGCAGCGTGAAACCAGACCTGTGCCCAGACCCCAGGCCTCCCCTCCAAGCTTTCACCTCCGCGCTAGCGTTTTCCTTTCAATGGAAAGTCCCTCTCCTAGTCTAACTTTAATCCCTCCTGCTGCGAGCCTAGATCCCCTTTCTTTTCTCTTTGAAGCGACCCCTTTAAGATCAGAAAGGAAATCTTCCTCTCGCGTTTGCAGCCTCCTCTCTCGCAGCGCCCCTCCACCTTCCCAGCCCCTCGATTTTGCCCCAGGTTGGAGAAGTTCTTCTTGACCGCTCCGCACCTCCACCCCCCACCTCCCTCCACCCTACTAGAACTCAGGATTCCCCGCCGGAGCCGCGTCTACTGCGACCCGGGCCGGGCCACACCCGCCTCGCCCTTCCGCGAGGCGGTGACCCCCCGGCAGCCGGCGGCGCGGCCACGACGGGGTTAAGGCTCCGGGCGGGGGGAAGCGGAGGGGGCCGGGAGGGGCGGGGGCCGAGCCAATCGGCGGCCGCGGAGTCCCCTGGGCCGCGAGCCGGGACCGCTGAGCCGGGAGCCGGGAGCCGAGCGCGCCGGGCTGGGGCTGGGCCGGAGGGGAGCGGAGAGGCAGCGCGCCCGCCCCAGCCCCGAGTCCGCCGCCTGGCCGCCCGCAGCCGCCGTCCCCGCCATGGAGCAAGACCACAGCCCCCGGAAGATCCAGTTCACCGTCCCGCTTCTGGAGCCGCACCTTGACCCCGAGGCGGCCGAGCAGGTGCGGAGCGGGGCGGGGCGGCAGGGGTCTCGCCCGGCGGAGGACGAGGGACCCCAGACTGTGCGATCCCAGACCCCCGGTCAGTCCTCCGTTAGCGGTGCGCCCCTGCGAGGGCCAGCGCCGTATTGGTGGGGGGGGGGGGGGGTCTTCTCTCCCCTCCCCCACCGTGGGAGCCCCATCTCCCCGTCTGTGCTTCTCCGAGATGGACAGAAGGACAAACGCCTGCCCTCGAAGCCGGTGCCCACGAGAGTCACTACCTTCCTCCCCAGCCCTGGGGAGGGGGCTTGTCTGAGGACACGACCCCTCCCCCCCTTCACCAGTCTTGCATCCCCCACCCAGTCAAACCCCGCCAGAGTTTCTGAGCTCGGTGGGGACGCCCAAGGCTGTCGGAGGGGTTAAGGGAGAGGGCAGGTAACCGAGGGAGTTGAAAGAGGGAAAAGAGCCCACCCCAGCCCTGTCCTAACTGGGGGCGACCCTGCCGGGCTCCAGAGAGTGAGGACGAGAAGGGCTTGAGGAGAACTGCCAGGGCTGGGGCTTTGGAGAGAGGAGTGGTCGTGCGTGCAGGCTGGCTCCCCTCTCTGCAAGTCTGGACACGTGGGTCCTTGTTCCCAACTCCTGCCCTTTGGATCGGTAGTGGGGTGGGGGTGGGGGGGAGGGCATGGAGAGAATGGCCTTGGGGAGGCTGAAGCGGGGGCTTTCTAGGGGCGAGGGTCCAAGCTGAGCGTAGACAGGGAGAAGCCCTGTGCTGGCCTGGGCTCAAGGGTGGGAGTCCAGGGCCCTGGCCCAGCCTCCCGTCCTGGCCTATTTTTAGCTCAGAGCAGCCTGGCAGAGGCGGCAGTGTATGAGAGTGTGTGAGCAACTGTGTGTGTCGGGGAGAGTGAGCATGTGTGTGGAGACGGTGACCACCCGTGGTGGCTACTACCACCCATTTGCCAAATATTTGCTCTTTGCTCCATCGCTTTTGGTGTTCTCTGTCCATTTGCCTAGACATCCCTGCTCCTAAAGAATATTCATTTCCCACAAGGTCTCTGCCCCGTTTCCCCACCTGACTGCAGGGGCTCTGGCTGGGCCTCCCCTCCCTCCCTGAAAAAGCTCTGAGCTCTTGGGATGGGCTGGAGAGCGTGTTCTTCCTGCTGCTCCAGCTGTTTGGGGAAATAAGGTCTGGATGTGAAGGTTCAGTACACTCCCTGTAACTTTAGCTTCCCAGAGTGTGGGGAGGGGTTAGGGACCTGCATCTTTATCCCCTCCCTAACCTGGTGGAAGCTGCATCTCCAGACCTCAAAGGTGTGACTTCAGGGAGGGAGGGTGGGGAGACTGCAGACCTCCTGAGGATGAGTGTGGAGAGCCAGGAGCATGGGGAGCATTCCCTTGGGGTCAGGGAAAAGGCTGTTTTGCCTGGAGGCAGGAGACTGGCTAAAATAACCTCAGATCCAAGGAGAGGGGCCCAAGAGTGTGAGTGAGCCAGGGGCTTAGGGGTGAGGTTCCAAACAGAAATGCCTGCTGCTGATGCAGCCAGTACCCGTGCCTGACACCTGCCTCTGTTTGGTGTTAGAGGAGACAGGTGGAGGTGTGTGTTGAGAGGAGGAAGGGGTAGGCCAGCAGGCCTAGAGGTTTAGGGGGGCAAGGGAGGAGGAGGAGGCAGTGCTATAGAGCCAGAGAGAAAAAGAGCCTGGGACTTCAGCCTGCTTTTCTCTCCTCTTCAGAAATCTGTATCTGCTCGGCCTGAAATTCTACCTGCGGTCCAACTTCAGCCCCTCTTGCTATCTTACCCATATGTGTAGGCAAAAAACTCCAGGCTTGGCAGGAGCACCTAAGCCAGATCGACCTGAGAGGGTGGCAGGGGTTGGAAACTCTGAGTTATGGAGACAGAGTGGCAGGGGATGGAGGGGTGCCCACAGCTACCAGGCGTAACTGGTTTGGAAATAAATCAGAGGCAATGGCACCAAGCGTCCTTGAGAGCTAGAATTTGTGATAGGGGCAAGGAAAATGAAAGAGACCGACACTCGTTTCCCAGTAGTTCAGGGACCTGGGAGTACTTCCAGAAGTCTAACTTTCCTCCTCCTGTAGGACATCAAAATTCTCAAGGACTCTGAGAGCTTAGAAATCTTGTCCAAGGCAAGGGATTTGGTTATGGAAGGGACCTGTCCAAGGTCAGAGTCCTCCTGCCCTCTCAAGGCCCTTTCCTATCACACTCGCAGTGTCCTTCTCAGGCTCCCAGCTCCCTCTCATCCCCACCCACCACATCTTCTCCCTGCCTCAGCACCCCTCCCCCAGGGCAGGATGAGTTCTCTCCTATAAGAATGGCCTCACTCCACATGCAGGAAACACACTTGCCCACCTGAGGGCCCCCAGCACGTTTGCACCAGGAATAGCCAGAGGTGGACTCACAATTATTGTCTGTGCAGCACATGCGTGTATGTGTGCACGATCACACACACACACACACACACACACACAACTGGTATTGCAGGGACCTTAAAATGTCACCCCAAAAAGACGCTGCTGGCTTCTCCTGAGAAAACAATGCCTACCCCAACCTATCCCTGTTCTACACACCCATTTCTTCTTTGGGGAGCCCCTCAATAGACTAACCCTGCCCCCTGCTATGGCTGATACCCACTTTCTGGGCAAAGAAAAGGGCAGGCGTCTTTCTACTCCCACCCCCACCCCTTTACCCCACTGCGGTAATGATCCTAAATAATGGACACAGAGAGATAGGGGTGTGATCATTCACTGTCCTCAGCCTACTTCTCTCAGCCCTGGATAATTTTAGCTTCTTTCCTAGTCCCATTAGTCTTCCCTCCCCTCCTCTGCCCTGGAGGGAGTTGCCGGGACTCCAACCCCAAGGTTCCCTTCACTTCCAAACCTCCAGAGAAAGGGGAAAAACTACACATCCCAAGAGTGCTTGGACTGGCTTTGACAACAATCAAGTTTATTGGCAGCAAGAGAAAAGAACAGAGGTGGGGGGAGAGGGGCTCAGAGGCCCGGCAGTCAATCAGCTCTTATCTGTTAGTTTCTTAGACTGGGACCGGGAGCCCAGGATAAGATTTCTCAGCCTAGCTTTAGTCCCTGGCCATGGTCCTGCCTCAGGCTCCTCCTCATATGATATTTACCATGACAAGGATTTCTCCAGACCGTTATTTCGTGACACATCAGAAAGGCAGTGTGTCCAAAGATAGGGAGGAGATGAGGGAGGGAGGGGCACAGGCCAGAAGGAGGCACATTCAGATCAGGCCTGCCTTCTCTGTGCTGTCCTCCCAGGCTGGGTGGGGGTGGAGGCGTGCTCTCCGCTGGTGCTGGCCCATAACAGGTTCGTGTCCTTTTGGGGAGTGGGCTGGGACCCTGAGGGGAACGCTTTGTTCCCTCTCGGGTTATTTCTGACCATTGATCCAAGATGGACGGAAGGACAACGGGCTGGAGATCAATGCATTAGCACAGATACAGATGCTGAGATGGAGAGCTAGGCCAGGACCTGGGGAGATGCAGAGACAGAAAGGGGGCTGGGGGGAGCAGCAAAGAGTGGGGGAGGTCTTCTGGGTCCCCAGGGCAGAGGGAGGGCCCAAGAATGTCCCCCAGGGACTGAGGGTTCAGTGTAACGTGGAGTGCTAAGTGGGTGGTGTGGATTATGTTGCTGAGTGTGTGTGGGGCCTTGACGCTTCCACATGTACTTGACCTCTTCCCTCAGATCCGGAGGCGCCGCCCCACCCCTGCCACCCTCGTGCTGACCAGTGACCAGTCATCCCCAGGTAAACCCCAGGATGGGTCACTAAAGGGAGTGGGGTCTGCTGAAGACAGCTTGGTCCCAGTGAGAGAAGGTGGGTGCTAGATAGATAGCAGGGCAGGTCTGAGGAGCCAGAGGTCTCCTCGGTCCCAGAGGCATGAAAGTAGCGGCTGGATTAGCAGGAGGGTTTCCTTTGCTTTGGAAAGACCAAGCAGGAGACCACTTGGTTCCTAAGCCCCCCAGGAGTTGGGGTGGTCAGTGGAGTGCTGGTTGCTGCGGCAACAGCCTTCCAGATTTCTCCAGCAACTGAGAGGCCGCTGCCCCCATCCCCAGAGGCGGTGACAGCTGTGAGGGGGTGGACCGCCTCCATCAGCTATTTTCACAGCCCCCAGAGGGGAAGGGGAAGGTTAGAAACAGCTTAGGGAGCAGCTGGCATTCTGGTCGCCAGTGTCCCCATCAAGGTCTGGAGAGACAGCAAGGTCTCAGAGAATGTCAGGGGCGCTGGCGAGAGAGTGGAAGAGAGATGGTGACGCTAAGAAGCCCGACTGGCAATCTGGATGTCTGAGCCTCCAACTTCCCTCCAACTACTTAAAAGGATTGCCCTGTACAGGACAAGTTTGCCGTTCTCTGCTCTGCTCGGTCCAATTCTAGATCCAGGGTAGGGAGAATGGTTGGAAGGAGGCAGAGATGGATATTTCAGAAGGAGGAAAAAAGCAGAAGGACCAAAAAGCCTGCCTTCAGGAACCTCCAGGTTTGAGGCAAGGATGTAGATGCAGGCTAACCACAGAGACAAGGACCAGACTAGAAGCAGGAGATAAAGCCAACCAGCAGAGCAAGATGGGGCTGGAGGGAGGAGGCCAGCACAGCCCATCAGGACCAGCTTCCTAGGGGCAGATGTGAGGGACCAATCACAAGGGAGCTGATTGCAGGGGCTCCTCCCCTTGAGAAGTCAGACTGCCCAGGGCCCCCCTGAATCTCCCATCCCCATCACTTTCTTCTCTCCCTCCTTCCCTCAGAGGTAGATGAAGACCGGATCCCCAACCCACTTCTCAAGGTGAGCTGGCCCCTCCCGCTCAGCCCAGTGAAGAGAACCCCCAGACTTATTAGAGGATTATGCCTCCAGCCACTGCGCCCCACCTGTAGGACCTTTTGTCTCCCTCCTGCTTGTGCCCTTCACATGTTCTTGAGTGGAGGTGCATGCACAGTCCCCAACATTCCCCCAACACAGTCTTCTTGCTCACCATCATGGGCAGGGTAGGGGCCGGGGAAGCAAGAGTTTTCTTCCCCCCACTTTCTGAAGCCTACACCTCCCCCCAGTCTCCAGTCTAAAAGCCTGGCAAGGCAGAAGGGAGGGCGAGAAGGGTGGGCGCCCACCTGTGCTATATGCCCTTCACAGTCCACTTTGTCCATGTCTCCACGGCAACGGAAGAAGGTGACGAGGACCACACCCACAATGAAAGGTTCGGAAAACCCTTCCCTGCCACACCTGATGCTGAGCAGTAGCCAGGACGACACCCCTTTGGAAGGAATCCTTGGGAAGTTGTTAAACCTGCCTTTGCCAAAGGAGAGTTGCTGGACTCCAGGGGGGCGGTGGGGGGGCGGGTGCTGCATTCCAGCTTTGCCACCGACTAGCTGGGTAGCCTAGAAAACCCACTTAACCTCCAGGGCCCCTGAATACTACCTCACTTTGGCCATTAAATAAAGTATGTGAAGTCAGCCAGCGCAGTGCACAGCACAGAGAAGATACTCAAATATTTCTTGAATCTAAATGGAGTCTTTTCTCCTGCCCACAAGGGAGACCAGGTATCCCAGCAAGTCAGGGGGATCTCTCATTCTTAAAGGCTCTCCCCTTCCCCTCTCTCAGCTTTGAAGAAAGTACATTTTATTGTCTAGCTTTAGTCCCTCCTCATTGGCCAGTGAATGTCCTTCCTTGGACAGGAAAGTCAAATCACACAGGCAGTGTGCGCTGGCCCTCTAGTGGAGCTGTCGAAGCTGAGGGTCCGCAGAGGAGACAGGGCAGTCACGTCCAATGCTCTCCCCTTTTCCCTTCACCCCCAGAGCTCCAGATGATGGTTGAACATCACCTGGGGCAACAGGAGCAGGGAGAGGAGCCTGAAGGAGCCGCTGAGAGCACAGGGACCCAGGAGTCCTGCCCACCCGGGATCACAGACACAGCAGCGGAGTCACAGCCGGGCACCTCTGGGAAAACACACAGTACGTTGAGGCTGGGGAGGGACCAGCCCAGGGGAGGCCAGCCTTATTGGCTGTGGGGAGGGGCCTAGCAGTAGCCAGAAACCATCTTGAGAATATGGATCCTTTGCATAACCAGCATGTGTTTGCATCTCTTCACCTTTCCTTGTTGAATGACACCATCCCCTCCCACTTGGACTTCCCAGGTCCCTGATATATGGTGGGGGGAGCCTGTCAGAATGGAAGCAGCTTTCTGGGCTGGAATCCTGGCTCTGCCACTACACCAGCCCCGAGGCCTTGAGCTACTTACTTAACCTCAGTCAGCTAAGTGATAATGATGGCGCCTATTGCATTGGGTTGTTTGTGAAAATTAAATAAGACTGATCCTTAGCTCGGCAGCAAATACACACAAAGCATGCAAGAAATGGAAGCTGCATGTCCACGGGTCCTTATCCCAGATGTGGGCGAGAAGTCAGAATCTTTCCAGTGACAACAGTATATATACTGTATGTTCCGTCATACTCCCAGCAGTGTAGTCAAACACGTGAATATTTCTGCAGGGAAATGAATGGGCACACTAAGTGGGATGTATAAGCTATCAAAAGCCTCCTCTCCATTCAGGTGAGGTTTAGCCACACACTGAGATCGTACCCAAATGTTTAAGCTTTTTTAGAGGTTTGTCGTCGTTGTTTTTTTCCTGATTGCAGACTTCAAAAAAATAGTGACCCTAAGTAGTCATTGTGACCAGAGAAAACCCTGTAGGTCTTGCCCCCCTGCCCTCAGCTGGTCTTGGGCTCCTCTCAAGGGTTGTTGGAGTATGGGATGGGGTAAGCAGAAGCAGCTCCCTCTCTCCAAGCCCTGGTGAGCACTACCTCTCCCTCCTGCCACCTGTTCTCCCTCCTCAGAGCCTGCAGAATCCATCCCTAACACTCAGGAGAGGGGCAGTGAGAAACCCAGCACAAAGGGACCCTCAAGCCAGTGACCACCACTGGATTGCCAGGGAGCCAACGTGGTAAGACCCCCAGGCTGCGTGCCCAGTCTGCAGGAGAGCAGGCTGTGTGAGGAGGGCGAGGGCTGAGGTCTAGAGTCAGGGAAAGGTAACAAAGGACCAACTTCAGCCTCTGAAAAGCTGTCCTCTATGGCCAGAGGATTTGCATCTCCCCTGATGGACAAATGTGCTTCCCAGGCGGCTCAGTGGTTAAAAACTCTGCCTGCCAATGCTTAGGAGAGGCAAGAGACACAGGTTAGATCAGTGGGTCCAGAAGATCCTCTGGAGGAGAAAATGGCAACCCACTCCAGTATTCTTGCCTGGGAAATCTCATAGACAGAAGAGCCTGGCGGGCTACAGTCCATGGGGTAGCAAAGAGTCAGACACAACTGAGCATGTGCAATGATGGATAAAGAGAAATGGGATTCAGCTGCAGCAGGAGGTACTGAGGTTAGACTCTGAGGACTTCTGGCTCCTGGAATGGATGATGGAAGTAGACCATGGATTTTCTGATAGAGGGCATTTGGAACCCAAAGGGAGAGCCTCATCTGCCCAGGCTGGATGATGGCTCCAAGTGGTCTTGCCTGGAGCGGAGACAGGGATGAAATGACCTCGTGAGCTCTGATTTGACAGTCTGCCCTCCCCTGTGGAGACTGGACGAGGGGCCAGGGCCTGGAATGGGACGTCACACTTAGATGCCTGACTAACGGGGTGACTGGGCACACCAGCAGGGGAGGGGGCGGTAGGACCGCAGGCCTCTCACTCACTGTCTCTTTCTACCCGCTTCCCTTGCAACAGGTCTGAGAGTGAGGAGGCGTCTTAGAATCAAGCCCGCAGTTGAGAATGCATGGACACTGGATTTGTTTCTTATTTCCTCACTTTTGGGGAAAAACCTCTTGTTTTTAAAAAGTGATAAATTTGGTGTTAAGTCCTTGACATTTTCCTTCTTTCCCAACTTGAAGAATCTTTTCTCCCTCCCCTCTTGTCCTGCCTTTTCTGCAGCCCCCTCCCTTCTGCCCAACTGCCTCCAGGAAGGAGGGAAGAGGGAAGCTGGGCAGGAGCCTTGAGAAGGGAGGTGTTTTTCTCCAGCTCTACCCTTACTCGCTGGGAGAAGAGAGCTAGGGGTCAGACAGGTGGGAGAACTGCCTTCCAAGGTGCCAAGAAGGCAGGATGGCCCCAGGTTCTCTTCACAGTGAGGAAAAAGACAACCACCTTCATCTGGCGGTCTTGGAACCCTAAGGCCTGGCTAGCTGTGATGGTGCTGTGGGCGCCCTCTGCTGGGAAAAGCGGGGAGCTGCACCCTGGCACTTGGCCCTTGGGAAAGAGAGGGTATGTTGCTTCGATGCCTCCTTGCCTGCCCTCCGACACTTGGTGATTCCCAAACTTCAGGATGTGTTCCCTCTGCAGCTGGGAGGAGACCACCACCCAGATTCCAACCTGTCAGCCAAGCTAGATTGAGGCCACGGGGGGCATTCACAAAGAGGCCCTTGCCGGGAACTGGAAAGGTCACCTCTCCCCTTGTCCTTGACACTGAGGGGCCAGGGTGAAGGACAGAAGCTGAGCAGAGGTGAATAACCTTTCTCAGACTCCACAGCCAGGCCTCTTCCTGCCCACCGCTTCTGATTTTTCCAGGCAGCGGAGGGAAGGCAAGATTCACCCCTCTTCAGAAGGAGTAGTATGCTGGAGAGAATAAAAAGCACTTCAGAAGTGGAAGTTCCCTTCTGCCAGCCCTGCTGCACACCCTCAGGCAGAACCTCACCTCTCTGGCCTCTGTATATAACAGGGCACACACAGCACCAGGGTTTTATCAGCTTGAAGAGACAGTGCACGCGAAGACGCCCGATGCACTTTCACCCGGCAAACAACACACACAGCCAGGCCTGGTCTCCCTTCTTTATTGATCTCTGGCTATAGCAGGGTTCTGAGAGACCGTGGACAAGGGTCAGTCACATGCGTCTCTACCCCGCTCTGGGTGGGGTAGGAGGGACGAGTGGCAGGTGGCAGGTCTGAAAGACCGTGGATACGACTTCACACGCACAGGGCCCACTGTACAAATGCATGTCTGGTATTTACAAGGGAGGAGGAGGGCAGTCACTGGACGTGGGCCTTTCCTGGGACAGAGCGGGGCCAGAGGAGCCTGAGGAGAGGAAGGGCCGGGGCCTGGCTGGGCTGGCCGCAGAGGAGGCGACAGCAGCACTCTGGAACCCCTGCCCAGCTGCCTTCCACCTGCTACTCCTCACTTGTCCCCGGAAAGGGCCTCCTGGGCCGGGGCTGGGAGGGGAGGGACCCTCTCTGTCAGCAATGCAGGATTACTGAGGACACCTCACCCTCCCCATGCGCCCTTGACCCCAACCCAGCTCTCCTGCCTGAGCTCTAGGATGCATCCTGAAGGTGCTTTTCTGGGGAGACCTCAAAGCACTTTACAGACATTGGTCGGATGGGAGCCTCCTGGCCCCAGGGGAGGGGAAGGAGGCGACAGGGTCAGGACTCGGCCAGGGCAGGTGACAAGCCCCAGGGCCGAAACCCATCCCAAGTCCTTGAGGACCCCAGGAGAGGCCCCCCTCTCAGCCCCTGGTGGCTATGGCACCTCCTCCCCCAGTCACCATTCCAGAATGGGAGAGAGGGAAGACTGCAGAGTCTGGGCGGGGTGGGGGTGAAGCAGTGCAGGTCTGGGGTACGGAGGACGCCCCATTGCCAGGCCCTAGAAAGGTGCCATGCCGTGAAGGAGCCCACGCCCCTGTGCACAGAGCTCGGAAAACCCCCAGCTTCCTATCCTGTTCCAGCCCCTCCCAGGGGAGGAAAAGGGGGACCCAGACCTGCCAGCTAAGATCTGGGGTGGGGGGCTAAGGAAACCCCCAAAATGTATTGCTTAGAAACTTGGAGGCAAAAAGGATGGGGGAGGGCCCAGGGGGCTGGCATCTCCAACCCTCCCCCCAAGCCCTGGGAAACCTCCAGGAAGCTCCCAGCCAACCAGTCATCTGGCCACGGGGAGAGTCCAGAGGCAGGGAGATGGACACAGTGACCATTGGGAGCCCGAAGTTCCCCAGTCTTGCCACCGGGAGAGTAAAGTGCACCCCAATGGGTGTCGGGTGGGGAGGGGCCCTTCCCCCAACCCCACAATCTCTGGCATTCGTCCTTTGGATGGGTTTTCTGTTCCTCGATGTCCATGCTCCCTCGGAGCAGATGGGGCAGCCAGTCCCAATGGATGGTGCTGATGACATCAAACACTCTGGATTCAGTGAGGACCTAAGAGAACAGAGGACACCTCAGTGCTCTGATCTCTGCCTTCATCTCCAGCCTGCCTTACCTTCTTCAGGTCTGACCCCACTTAGCGCCCCGGTGCAGCTGCAAAAAAATGCCCTGCAGAAGAAGGGCTCTGGGGGGGAGGGGAGGGTTGGTGTGGGAATGAAGTCATGCCGCGCTGAGATCCGGAGCCTGGGGCCTGGCTGTGCCTCTCCTGACCCTGACTCAGAGCTGCTCAGCCCCACCCTGAACTGGGGAGCTGCCCCCTCTCTTCCTGGAGGGTCTGGACCAAGAAGAAGGAGGACACCCCCTGCTTCCCACTTGGGCCCCGGCTCCGGTCTCTGTGTTCACTTCCTCCAGGTTCCCGCCTGGAAGGAGCGAGGGAGAACCTCGCCTCTGTGGAAGCCCAGAGATGCCCCTTCCGAGAGGCCTGTCGGACACCCGCCTCGCCCTCCTCCCCGCCCACCGCCACAGGCTCACCGGGGCCAGGCCCCGCTAGTCCAGATTCCCGTTCTGGCTGTGCTCATCCTCAGCAGGGGAGGCGGGGGCCTCTTCCTCACAGGGGGACAGCTCGTCAATGGACATCTGGTTGGTGATGCCTGTAGGAGAGCGGGGAGGAAGCTGGGACCAGGCAGAGCAGTAGGTTTTCCCCGAACCCAAGGGATATGTGGAGAAAAGGAAGTGATTCTCACGCACCCTCTTCCTTCACGCTGAGCTGAGCTATGTTCAACCTGTGCCCTCCTGGGGAGAGGCTCCCCAGCCTTGCTAAAATGCACAGCCCTCAGCCCCCACGATAAGGAAGAGACACCTCAGCCAGAGCCACCGGTTACCCCAGCCACACCACTGACAGACCGCCGGTGTGCACGGAGCCCCTAGGGCGGTGGAATACTGCTGTGCCTATCGTCTCTCCAGCCCCCATTCTAGAACATTCCAGGTGGGTCAGCCTGTGCCTGATCCCTTTTCCCAACTCAGGGAAGGTATCAGACAAAGGGCTGCTCAAGGGGCTTCGGGAAAATGGACCCACTGCTGCTCAGGCTTCCCTGGTGGGTGGCTCAGGTGGTAAAGAATCCGCCTGCAATGCGTGAGACCTGGGTTCGAGCCCTGGGTTGGGAAGATCCCCTGGAGGAGGGCATGGCAACCCCCTCCAGTATTCCTGCCTGGAGAATCCCCATGGACAGAGGAGCCTGGCGGGCTACAGTCCACGGGGTCGAAAAGACTGAGCGACTAAGCACAGCACAGTTGTTCCATCAGCCGCCCTCCCGACAAGGCCTTATCCTCCCAGTGGACCCACCGCTTGCCGCCCGTTCCTTCCATTTCTGCTTGTTCTCCTGAATGTATTTGGTCCAGGTGGAGCGGAAGCTGACCACGTCAGGGTTAGGGTCTCCCACTTCTACATCCAGAGAAGGCTGGCGCCACTGGAAGCTATAAGCAGGACCCGCCCACATTGTGGAGGTGAGACCCCGCCCACCCCAGGACGGTCCTCCAAGCCCTCAAGAGTAGAGAGAATGGAAGCCTCATCCTTTTCCTTTCTCTTTGCTGGGTAGCCCCCCCCCACCGCCCCCCAGTCCCCACCTCTCTCCATACCTTCCCTTCTACTAGAAGGAAAATGAAAACAGCATTAGCCAGAAAGGCAATAAGGACAGAGCTAATGGGAGAGATTAAAATATGGTGGAGGGGACTCGGGTGCAGGCCGCACGCTCTGCCCCCATCCTTTCGCCCCGACGTCTGACCCACAGCAGAGGAGTCACTGTTTCTCTACCACCCCCATCAGTCGGTTCTCTCTGTGGGCCCTCTGGCCACCCCAGCCACCCTCACTCACCTGGGCTGGTTTTTAGACTTGGATTCGTCGTCCCCGGTGGGCTGGACACTCTTCTCAGCCACATCGGTGAGCACAGAGAACGTGGGCTCCACAATGAAGTCGATGAAGCCTGCAGTGCATATAACAGGGAGAAAGCTGACCTGGGGAGCTGCGCAGAGGACACAGCCGGCACGCCGGTGCCCCCAGCCACATGGAACACAGTCACCTGGGGCTCAAAAGTTCCCAGTGGGGGCAACCTTTGTGATGATGTCTTTGTGACCCCAGAGAACTCCACCCCCAGCCCTCCACACTCCAGCACAGCAGCTTGCCTTGACGGGAAAAACAGCTTTAGGAATGGGCACTGGGAGCAGTCCTGACCCGGCCCAGCCCAGCCAGCATCCTTGACCTTTCCCAACCCTCTCCTCCCTGCAGGAAGGGACACTCACCAATCTGGGACTGCGCCACCAGGGTGGAAGTGCGGTCACAGAGCGGAGAAAAGGGCAGGCCCAGCTCTGCCTCCTTGTCACCCTGGGGGAGCAGACAGAGTGGGGACTTATTTCAGTCTACCTGGTTGGGGTGCAGCTGCGGGTAGAGGGGCTGCAGGGGGAGAAGAGGGAGCTCTGTGCCTTTGACCTGGAAATGAGCGCATGCAAATGCCACTGCCAGCAATGACTGTTAAGCTTTTCGGAGATGGCATTCTATCCCATGGGTCTGGGATCAGGTTGGCAGCTGCAGGCAGCTGAACAAGGAGCTGGAGGAGGAACAGGGAACTTGGAAAACATGGGGGAGAGAAGGCCCTGTGGGCAGGGGCAGGCAAAGATGCCCCCTACCTGGCGGAAGAATTCCTCCATGAGGGCCTTCGTCCAGCGGCTGTGAACCGACCACTGCTTGGTGGGGTGGCTGATGTCAGCAGCATGAAGCAGCAGAGACAGGGCCTTGGATTTGTCAATCCTGTTGGGGCAGGTGGCAAGGGAAGGGAGACTGATTCTTTAGGAAAAGGAAGCCTGGACCATTCCTAACTTCCCATCACACTCTCTCTCTCAGATCTAACATCAAATACCCTCTGAGACGAGATACACACACACACTCTTACATGTATATAGAAAACAGCCCAAGCTCTCAGAATCAAACAGCCTGGAATCGAATCCTCACTATACGTTTCACACACTAGCTGTGTGATGTACAGCAAGTCACTTAAAATTTCCATATTTCATTTTCCCCAGTCCTAAGTAGAAATCAAAACAGGATCTGCCACAAAGAGTTGTTCTGAGAATTAAATGACATACAACATATAGGTATTTAGAATAGTGTCTGGCACCTAATAAGTGCTCGGTAGACGTTACCTATAATTATTATTATTATAATTATTATTATGATTCGCCAACAATGACATGCTCTGACCCTGCCCACTCTCCCACACACAGACACTGTACATTAACACACACCTTCAGGACACACACAAACACCGTCTGTTCTCTCTTACATTTATATACTCCCACCCACTTTTAAGCAACATTAGATGTAATTACGACATTTGTTCTGTGCTTTTTTTTTTTTTTAACCTCACACAACTCTCCTAGTAGCCCTGTTAGAGTGGGGGCTGGCAGTGAGCTGTTGTGGAGGGGGGCATATCATTTTCACTTCTCACACATAGGGAAACGAGTCCAGAGGGCTGAATGATTTTCCATTACATTCCAGAGTATGCCTGTCCTGAAGCTTCCCTGAGGACACCAATCTCAGACCCCCAACTCAAACGCTCTCCAGTAGTCTGGCTGCCTGGGCTGTCCCCAAACCCAAGGCCAGGAGCACACATCCGTCACATACACCAGATACCCTCAGATACTTGGAGCCGGGAGAGTTTCTATATCCTGGTAAAGACTTGGCACACCCATTACCCTGAGGATGGCTTCCAATTCACACACCCCTCACTCTGGCCTCACCCCAGCCACACCCCACCAGATGTCACCTCTCCAGCTGCTGCAAGGCTGTCTTCATGGACTTCACTTGCTGGAAATGGCAGGACATGTCTGTGGCCAACACCATCTCGATGACCAGAGCCCGCAGCTCTCTGAAGGGACAGAACCCAAGGAGTGATCAGCACTGCTAGACAGGAAGCCTAGGAAGCAGGAAGAGGGGGCTGGGGTGAGGGGGTCTCCAGGGGTGCCCACGCCTGGCTTCTGCTCACACAAACTCATCCTTGGTGAGGTTGATGAAGATGTTCATCTCGTCGTCCTGCATCATTCGGAAAACCGAGCTGATGTGGTGATTCTCCAGCACTGAGCGGTCGTTGTACAGGATGGCACATTCCGACCTGCAAAGCACACGGTCACCAGGCCCAGCTCCCCGGACCGCCGCTGCTGCCCACCCACCCCGCCCCTGCCACACCCCCGCCCCTCACTTGGTCTGGATATGGAAGCTGTTGGTGGTGCCAGTGTGCTCATAGTCGTGGATGGCTGCAGCAAAGATGATGGCCAGGACCTCAATCTCCGACAGGCAGTGCTGGGAGAAGGAGACAGACAATGAGAGGGGGCTGATCCCCTGCTGGCTGCCCAAAGACCTCCACACGCAGGCTGGACTGCTCATCCCAGCCCCACCATGCTTCCTGTCCAGCTCTTGGGCTAAATGCAGTCAGGTTTCTCAGCTCCGAGAACTGCCAGAGACCCTCTTCCATCCCTACTGACAATATTCCCTCTGCATCTGGCCATACAGCCCCAGTGCTAACCAGGAAGTTACGGTGCACCCAGGAATTCTCTAGAGTGAATAAGTCCAATCCGACTCTGGAAAGACTTTGGGATGCCAAAGGAGAGGACCCGAAGAGAGAAAAAAGGAAATGAGAGTATTGACTGTAGGTTGGACTCCCCGGTTCTGCAGCCGTAAGACCTGAATCCCAGAAGAGTGACCTCCAGGGCACCTACCGCCATCCCTGTGCGGAGCAAGAAGCAGTGGACCGTCTGGGTGACGTCAGCTGCGTGGATCTGGTTGTGGTAAGGGTTCTTGTACTTCCCATAGCCTGTCTCCAAGGCATCCAGGAAAGTCATCAAAAACACAGTGGGAATCTGCAGTGGGAGAGGGGCAACTGAGATTTGTGGAGGATGTGCAAACGGCAGGCCACCGAGGACAGAGGTCAGTGAGGCCCTTTCATGAAAATACAACAGCGCTAGGAGAGCACTGGCCCTGCAGTGAACTGGGCTTGCGTCCCGCTGGCTGTCTGACCTTGGGCAAGTCACGTGCCTCCCTGTCTCTGATGCTTAATTGAAGAATGAAGATACTACCACCTACCTTGAATTTAATGGGATAAGTACAGTACAAGGTACTTAGCAAGTGCTCTCCCAAGAGTAGCTATAATTATTATTATTTCCCTGGAGATTTTTAAGAAGAGGAAAGAAAACTTCCCTCCTACCTTCCAATCACCCCACCCCATCCCCAAACCAATACCATGGAGAGGGGCTCAGAAGCAGGGGAAAGAATAAGAAGACCCAGAGAGGACCCTGAGACCCTGACCCTAGCTCTGAGAAGCCTTCCCCACCCTCTGTCCATCACACACACACACACACACACACACACACGCACGCACGCACGCACGCACCGCGCACCAGGAGCCAGAGCTCTGTCAGGCTCGATCCTGTCTAGGTCTCTGCATATGCCCTGGGGCATGTTCACCTCCTTCAAAGGCCCAAGGCCCCCAGAGGGCAAGGCTGGTGTCTGCACCTGTCGCTGGATCTCTGAGGCTGCGAGGAGAGCGGGGTTCAGGGCTTGGGGAACCCTCTGTAGAGATGAGCAGCGGTGGCGAGACACAGAGAAGGTGCCACTAGTCAGTCAGACCCTAACATCCCCCGCCCCCACCCCTGGAGGGCTGTGCCCCAAATTCAGGGAATTTTAAAGGACTGTTTCCATGACAACTGCCCTTGCTTTTGCGTTGCCATGGCGTCCCTGGAGGAAAGGAAGGGAAGGGGAGGGGCAGGACAGGGGCCGGGTGCCCAGAAAGGGAATGTGGAGCTTAAAAGAGCCGCTCCAGCTGGGGTCTCTACTGGGCAAGGACCCTAGAGCATGGAGACCCCTCTCTCTAACTGCCTTGGAGCAAGGCGGTTTGGGGCTGGGCCAAGCCCAACCTGATGTAGTGACTCTTGGGGTAGCCCAGAACCATCCTTCCTTGGTGTCTGGAGGAAGTCTGAGAGCCAGTTTGGAGAAATGTGAGCTGAGAAAAGTCTTAGGAAAAAGAAGACCCTGCTATTCTCTGTCCTGGAGAGGGCAGGATTGGAAAGAAGAGAATGAAACTGCAGAAGAACAGGGCTTAGGGAGGCCTGAAGAGAATCTCAGAGCATCTTACAAAAGTTCTGGGAACTCCCTTGAGAGTTATTGTAAAAGGAGGCGTCAAGGGTCAAGGAATGGCTCTCACACACCAATACTCTATTATAGGGAGGTGGAAGCGAGGGCGTTGGGGGACCTTCCAGAGCCCTCTGGGAGGGCCTTTCTACTGGACTCCTTTGACCACACCTCAAGCCCCTCCATGGGACATGGCAACCCACTCCAGTATCCTTGCCTGAAAATTTCCATGGACAGAGGAGCATGGTGGGCTACAGTCCACGGGGTCTCAAAGAGTCAGACAAAACTGAGCGACTGAGCACACAGGCACGTGTGCCCCTCAGAACACACACTTTCTCTCCGACCTAACATCCACTGTCACTCCATCCAAGTGCAGACCTAATATCCCCCTCATCCTCCAGCTGTGGTTTCTCCACAAGGAAGTGATTTTTTTTCCAGCCCCTGTTCCCCAAAGACGCTCTCTCCTGGCACAGGATCTGAAGAAGATTTTAATCCCATATTCTTCCCGGCCAGCCACGCTGAAGAGCAAGTGGAGTTTACACCCTCCCTCCCCTCCTCCAGCCCTACCTAGCCTTGCCAAGAGCTGATCCTCTCCATAAAATTCCTTGGACAGAGACTGGAGCCCGAGGGGGAGGGGAGGAGAGCCCCCCCCCAAAAAAAAAAAAAACAGATGGAGAGACATTAATCCTGCAAGGCACCAGCTGACAGTCTCTGGACCCTAGGCCTCCAGTGTCCACGGGCAGGAGGGCTGAAATGGGGCTGAACTGCAGCCAGGCTGGAGAGGACAAGTTAGGGGACAAAGGAGGACAGGCCAGAACCCTGGGCTGGACAGCCACAGGCTAGAACCTTCCCCGGAAAGCTATACAGGAAGCCAGAGGCTGGGACCACAGCAAGTGGAGCAAAGGCCAGACTGGGATGGGCACAGGGTGACTGCCCCGACAGTGAGACCGAGCCAGAGAGCCCACAGAATCCACCTGTAGGAGCAGGTTGGTGGGAGTGGGGAACCCTGCCCAGAGGCAGAGGTAGGAGGCTGCCAACCTTAAAGCGGCTGATGAGGTTGTGCCGAGTCAGCAGCTCAAAAACGATGGTCCTCAGGGCGTGGTCGTCTGCTGCCCGGTTCAAAGAAAAGACATCAAAGCACCAAAGGTCCACGTTCTGTGGAGAGACAAGGAACTAGGCAGGGAGACTCCCAAGAGGGGCATCCCAGCAGCAGCAAGGGCTGCAGTTAGACCTCAAGGAGGACTTCCCAATGGTTACAGACGCATGGGATGCAGGAAAATAAGGAAATGAAAAACAGGCTTCTTTCTTCCCAGATATCATTCAGTATGGGAATGATAAGAAGTCAGGAGTTTGCCTCTCAAGTGGGTCAAAGTTGTTTTGAGAAACAGGGAAATGACAATTAAAAGAGGAAGTAAAAATCACCCCATAGAAGTCTGAAAGTCCTGAGGACTATTCCGTACCCCCCCCCAACCTTCTCCCCGGAATCACCTTGAGACAGTTGAGGACCGCAGTGGAGTAGGTGGGGCCCACAGAGGTGTATGTTCTCCGGAACATCCTGAGGGAGAAGAAGGAAAGGAGCCCCGGAGTGAGGTCTGATCATGGGATCTGATCAGTTGGGGCTGGGTGGATGGGCCACAGGCACATGGGGCTGGTGATACAGTGGAGTCCTGGAAGACCCCACGGGAAAAGAGGGCCACAGCCAGGGGCCGAGGGAGGCAGGGCGCAGCGAGCCTCACCGCTCCACGAAGATGCCCGCCTGCACTGCGTGCACGATGCTCCGGAACTTGGGTTTCTCTTCCGCTCGGCGGCCTTTGGCCCGGGTCTGCTGGGTGAAGGTGGAGGCCAGCCAGTCCCGCACCTCCGAAGGCACCGCGTCAGACCGCAGCTCCTGCAGCTCATCCTCCGTGTCCAGGATTTGCCTGAGGCCCCAGAGGGGGAGTCACAGAGGAAAGACTGCAGGTGCTTCCACAGCCTGGAGACCCTGGGCCCAGCCACACCCCACACCCTGGAAACTCTCACACCAGCATCTCCCTTCACTGACTCTCCCTTGTCTGTCTTTTGCTAAGTCTTTTTACTTCTGTTTCTCTATAACAGGTCACTATGTGAGAGTGAGCACCCCAAATCTGGGAGCATTCAAGCAGCCAGTGGCATGGATATCACCTGTCAAGGATGCTTCAGACCAGCAATGCTGTCCAGCAGAAATAAAATGCAAGCCATATATAAGTGATTCTAGGTTTTCTAGTGCTTGTGTGTGTGCTAAGTTGCTTTAGTCACATCTGACTCTGTGACCCCATGGACTGTAGCTCACCAGGCTCCTCTGTCCATGGGATTCTCCAGGCAAGAATACTGGAGTGGGTTGCCATGCCCTCCTCCAAGAGATTCCCAACCCAGGGGTTGAACCCGTGTCTGTTATGTCTTCTGCATTGACAGGTGAGTTCTTTACCACTAGCACCACCTGGAAAGCTCAAGTTTTCTAGCAGCCATATTCAAAAGGTAAAAAGAAACAGGTGAAACCTCCTTAAATGATAACTTTCCTTTAACCTAATATGCTCAAAGTACTATCATTTCAACATGAAATCAATATAAAATACATTAATGAGACATTTTACATTCTTTTTTCCAAGTCTTTGAAATCCAGCATGTTTTTTGTATATACATACACATCTCCATTCACACTTGCTACATTTGAAGCCCCACTAGCCACATGTGACCGGTGGCTCCCCTCCTGGGCAGAACAGGTCTGGAAGGCCTCTGCCCTGAGCTTTAAGGTCCCTCCCAGCTCTGGAAAGTTCTTCTCCTCCTGATAACCTGTGTTTGTCTCTCTCTGCAAGTCTCTGTTCCTCTGCCTCCTTATCTCTGCTGATAATTCTACCTATAGATCTATCTGTCCTCACTGGCCGCCTCCCTCCTCTGGCCCTGTCATGCGTGTCTATCCCCAGCTTTCTGTCTGACTCCCCATCCCTGGATCACAGTGTCTGGCTGGCATCTTTCTCCTCTGGGTGTGGGTTTTCTCCCCGCCGCTCCGCGTCACCACTCTCACCGAGTCTCATCTATGTAGACGGCCTCCAGCAGAGACGCTGTGTACTCCAGGTTTTTCTTCAGCTCCTCAATGTTTACCTCCCCGTTCTCCAACTGCTTCACCATGTAGCGAAGCCTGGGGGGCGGTACAGAGAACCCGCTAAGGCGCCGCTACCTTGTCAAGAGGATGCCTCTAATAGGATGGATGCATGTTCCAGAAACAGCCGCAGCCTTCTATAACGCATTAATCTTTCTAACAGAATAACAGCAGCTAATGTTTTTCATCACAGGCCATTGCCACCACCTGTACTAAGTTTATCTACCCCCCCAAAGTTAAACCCCAGGCTCTTCCACAGTCCCCACCCACCTCTGACCTCTCAACACCTTCCCTTTAGTCAGTATTTCCTGTAAACTCTTGTTTAGATTGCCTGGGGCCCAGCAGAATTAGGCAGGTACAAGCCCCTGGGGTGATGTTTTGAGGATGATCTGTTTCATAGTCTGAATAACCAAGAGATGAAACTGCCTCTTTCCTTCTGATAGAGGACTTTGGGAACAACAGCCATCAAAAGGACCCCCAGCATTCTTTCATTAAGTCTCTTGGTTTGGGTAGGGAGGGGGTACATGTTCACAGCCCCTCTGTCTCTGGCAGGGATGGCGAAGACACAGAACAAAGACCAATCTGAATGCTTTTGCCTGGCCTCACTCCATCCAGGCAGAGCTAATGGATTATGATTCCAGAATCCATCAACCGGGACAAAGCAAGATTAACCCCTGCCTCCCTGGTGTCGCTCCAGAGAGAGCCTCTGGCAAAGGGTGACTGTACCCCTCCCCTACCTCTGCCATGAGGCAGCTTCCCCCAGAGCCAAAGTGGTGACGGTGGGGTCAGGGGTCTCACTTACTGGATGCTTTGCCTGAAGGGACCATCCCTCATATTTTGCACTCACGAATTCTGGGGGATTAACTGGGTGGTTTCTTAAAAGTCTGCTTTATGACTGCTGGAGACCAGCCCAGGCAGTCAGAGGTACTCAAAGCTCTCTGACTTTAGGTGGTGATTTTAAAGAAAGCAATGAAACATTCCCCTCTGGCTCCTTCTCCCAGCTCTGCCCCACCCCACCTAAAAGCAAGATGAGGTGAAACAGTGGCCAGCACAATTCCCCCCTGAGAGGGGCTTCAGAAACCCAAGGTCACCCTATGAGTCAGGGAGAAGAGTATGAGTCAGGAACCAGAGGCTGAAATTAGCATCGATTCCCAGGGATGCTGGGGGAGGGAGAACAATGGCATTCCTGAACAGAAACAGCTCTAGAATCCTGGGGTCTCAGCAGCTTTGGAATAGGGGCGCCCAAAATAGCCAGCCCAGGAAGCATCACCGGCCAACTCTCACCCCAGGGACCAGCAGTCCTGGCCAAAGACAGGTCTGAATGCAGATGAGGCAGAAGGGAAAGAGGGGAAATGGTGGGGAAAGAAGCTGGAGGATGAGGCTGTAGCCTCCTCAGTGGGTTATCTTCAAACTGCACTCCCACCCTCCCTGCTGCACCTTCTCCAGGTGAAAAGAGCAGGTTGTTCCACGAGGGAGGGCCCTGGTTCCATAGAGCCCAGCCCCAGCTCAGGCTTCATGAGGGAGGAGGAGTAGAGGCCGACAACATAAAGGTTTTCCAGCCAATGAGCTGGAAAGTGGTGACTGACAGCCGACCAGGGATCACACAGCAAAGAGGTACCACTGTCTCTAGGGCCCAGGCGCAAGCTGGGGCTGCCCTCTCCCAGTCAGTCCCCATGGCCAGGGACCCTTGAGTCTGGGGACACAACCCAGGAAGAAGGAGAAGCCCCTGCTCTGATCTTTTCCCATCCCAGCCCTAAATCTTCCACTTCAATCAGCCCTTTTTACAATGGAAAACTCTGCCCACTAGGGGTCAATGCCCACCACCAAAGTTCTGCCTTCTTTCTTGAGCCACCCTGGGAAACACCCATCCTAGTACAGGCTCCCAAAGTGAACAGCCAAGCCCACGGGTGCTCATTTGCATGTATTCGCATAATCTCTTAACAATGCTGCCAGCTCTACATTTTAAAAAGTGCTTTCTCCTACATTATCTCCTTTTATCCTCACAATGGGCCTAGAGGGAGGGAGGGGAGGAAGGCTGTGAGACCCTATTTCCAGTGTAGAAACGCAGGATCCCAGCACAGCTCAGGAAGGTAGAAAGCCCACATTCAAACTTTTCACTTCCTGGATATGAGCCCTGGGCAAGTCTCTACTTCTTCATCAGTGTCTACCAAAGTGTGGCCTATGGACCACTGACATAAGAATCACCTGGGATACTGGTGAAAAATTTTATTCTGGGTCTCCCCACACACCTACTTAACCAGATTTTCTAAGGTTTGGGTCCAAGGATCTGTGTTTTTAACAAACATCCCAGATAATTCTAACTCACCCTAAAGTTTGAGAATCTTTATTTTCAACCTTCAATTCCTTCGTCTGTAAAATAGTGAGGATTATAATAAACTACCTGTGGTGCACACGTGGGCAGCACTAAACCACCTGTGAAGAGCTGCTGTTTAGTCGCTCAGTCATGTCTGATTCTTTTGCAACCCCATGGGCCGCAGCCTGCCAGGATCCTCTGTCCATGGGATTTTTCAGGCAAGAATACTGGAGTGGGTTGCTATTTCCTTCTCCAGGGGGACTTCCCAATCCAAGGATCGAACTCGCACCTCCTGCATTGGCAGGCAGATTCTTTACCAAAGAGTCATGAGGGAAACCACCTGGGAAGAGCTGTTAATAAGAGGATTAAATGAAATAATGCATGCAAAAAGCCTGGCATATACAATGAGGCTCTATAAATGATTTGTATTAAAATTAACTGACCAGCATCATGCCTGCCCCCACCCAGCTCACACCTCACTCCCTTCGAATCCAGCAAGCACCTGCTGTCTTGATCCCAAGTTCAGGTGAAGAACGGTGAGCCTAATTTGGATGGAGGCTGGTAATTAGGAAGCCCCCTAGCAGAGGAAATGAGAGGATGATAATGACCATGATCTCTCCTTTATAATTACATACCACAATCACCTTATGGGGGTGGTTATATGACTTGTCTAGGGTCACACAGCTTGTCAATCTCAATCAGGCCAGCCAGCCTAAAACTCACTCTACTGGAGCCTAACTGTGCTCCAAACACCAAAAGTGAGGCTGGACCCCACTGAATCATATAGCTCTTCAGTGTCAGTCATCTATGCTTCATGGGGTGATGTTGTCTGTGGATACCATCAGACTCACAGGAAACTGGGGGTGTCTTGATAGCACTCACAATGACTTGTCTGTCCTGGCAGCTGTGCCCAGGGCACATAGTATGTGCTCAGTAAGTGTTCATTGAACAAAATAAAAGGGAAAGGGGGCAGATTAATCAGGTGGGGGGCTATCTGCCAGTGCTGACAATTGAGATCTCAGCCTAGGGAGAAGAGCGTGGTTGTAGGCTGGCTTTCAACACACCCCTCCCCCCAAGTTCCTCCCACCTCCACCTCTCAATCTTGTCCAGAAGTTCTTTTACAGCTCCTGTTGAAATCTGAACCCAACATGATCCAGATACCAGAAGGAGAGGGGAGGGACGGAAAGAAAGATTAAAGAATAAATTTGACAAGCTGGGTGTTCAAGGAGAGGGCCTGGACTCAGGCAGCTGGAAGGATCCAGGTGCTAAACTTCCCCCTCTTGGAGTTACATAACTTTCTTCATGACACTTCCGGGCCTGGTAGGATCTCCCCAGACCCACCCAAAGTCCTCACCTAGCCATTCGTCTGCTTGGATGGGTAGGATGCTCACCCCTGTCCAGTCCTCATCCAGATCTAAGGAAAACTGGAAGCTTCCCAAGAGTCCTCCCACTCCACTCCTAGTGCTGGTTCACCATCTCCACTTCTTTCTCCTTTACCTTCCCCACACCATGGGAAAGTCTCAGGTCCTGACCCCTGGAGGCCCCAAGTCTCTCCCAGCTCTAGGTAGCCAGCTGGAAAAGGTAGCTTCTGGGCAGTAATAATCCCAATGCCCCAGACAAGTGCAGCTCTCCAGCCCCCATCAGATGATCTGGTGATTTCCGGCACCCACACTCCCTGAAAGATCACTGTAAGTAGACAGCTTAGGACAGAGTAGCCTCAAGCTAAGGGACTGGGAGTTGAAAGAAGAATCCTAACTCCCTTTTGGGTTTTTAAGACCAGATGAGGAGATACTGGAGGAATGTGAGGTCTTAAGAACGCTGGGGTTCAGGAGGGAGAGAAAGAGGGAAAATACTGCTAAGTCACCTGCCATGCTTAGACACACACACACACACACACACACACACACACACACACACACACACACACACACACACACACACACACACACACACCCATATGGGACTGTCAAGTCTTGATCCTGCTCTTCCACCAAACTACAAGTAGTAGACCCGCAGCAGCCTGTCATCCGATCCTCCTCCTCCCCTCTCCCTTCCTCATCCCTGGAGCCTACCTGAGGATGGGCCCCTGGAGGTGACTCCTCCGCACAGGAACGGGGCTGGCCATGGGAATCAACGCTCTCTACTTCAGAGGATCAGAATGCCACCCCCCAGGCCCCTGGGCTCCTGAGGGGAGTGGTTCCCTTTTAGGCCCCTGACTTCCTTCTCTAGGTCTCAGCAAAAGTGACTGACTGACTGAACAGAGAGAATTTAGGGGAGGGGAACAGGAGGAGCCTGGCTGGAGGAAGGAGTGATGAGGCAGAGACTCAGCCCACAACTGGGTGAGAGGCCGCGGGAAAAGTTTCACATCTGAATCAGACTAAAAACAAGAATCTGTTCTCAGAAGAATCCCAGAAAGGACAGAAATAGCATAAGCCAGCCCCTTGCTCTGAGGAGGTGGGGCTCCCCTTTCAGGGGAAGGAAAGGGTTAGCAGGAGGCTTAAGGGGACAGGGACAGGGGCAGGGAGCCATCCTGACTTTGTCCTGAAGAGGAAATCTGCCGTGGAGTGGAAGGAGCCCTCCAAGAGAGCCCCAGCTAGGCTAAAGCAGATTTGGCTCCCTCCCAGGGTCTTTTTTTCCGGGGCCACTCTTCAAAATGAGCTTTAACCCACCTGCAAGGACGGAAACAAGACAGGAAGAGAACTAGAAACTGCAGAAAGGGGGCTTG